AGTAAATCAAATGTCAACACAATAGACAGCAAAAATTTGGAAACCACAAACACATTACTAGATGGCGGTGATTCAAAAAGTATTTTCTATCGATGTGAAAATTGTGAAGCGATAGTATTTAGTTCAGCGATGCAAGAACATTTAGAATCTGAAGAGCATAAATTGGAAACTGCCAAAATCCATCGAAGCTCAGTAATACCACATCCCTTAAGTAAAGATGGTTTCTATCATGTCCTACCACTACGGGAATATCGTCGATCCTGTCAAGAAGTTTTGCGTCCTGTATGGCCTTCAGTGAAATTTACTGATGCAGAGGCTAACCTTTTAATGGAAGCAGCGAAGAATGATGATGATTGTATTTTACTCTTGTCGTCATCTGATGGTCGATCACGTGTTGGTTTACATTTAACCAATGCCCTGTTGATAGCTAATCGGAATTTCCCTCCGTCCAATATTTTTGGTAGTCCATTGAAACCAAGTACTAGTACTACTACTACTCCTACTGATATTACATGTGTGCTATGGATTGCACCCGAGAAACCAATGACTACAACTACAAAACGTTCTCATTCTACGTTTACATTTCAGCCGGGTGGTGAAAAAAGTTCAACTGGGCGTCCATTGATTTTTGCATATCCACCGTTCGATCCGTCAGTCCTATCAGGAACTGATATCGTGAGAACAAATTCTGGTGGCTTTATAACACATTTAGCCTGGTTACTTATGCTGCAAACATGTTCATTATTTCTCTCTTCAAGCATCTGTCTGTCGTATATCATTACGTGTCACTTGAAAAGAAAGTACCTAACCATAATAGCAACAGCTGGACCACTACTAATCTATTTGGTTTATGAGGTGTGATTTCCACATCAATTGGATATCTGGTGGCACAGCGGTATAATGCTCGCAAAACACGCCTCATGTGGTTCGAGGTTCAATCCCGGCCGACGCTCTCCTCCACCTTGCTAAGCTAGCAATAAGACTGGAAAAGAGGGATTATTTTCATTTCATTTAAACGCAGAAGAAAAACACTTGGTGCAATATGGCACCAAGAAAGATGCGCCACACAGTAATAAAACAGCATAGATTAAAAGTAAAAATTTAAGTAGAAAACGGATAAAGAACTTCATCTGGAAGGAAAACAGTCATATTTAACAAGTTCAAACAGTATTCGTCAACTATCATCGAGAAGGGAAGAAAGAAGGAAATTGCAACACGTTCGCCATTGATTACGATTCTTGGCCATATCCGATAACCTTTCGAGCCATCGATTCGAGCTATCTCGCGGACCCCAACCAGGGATGAAAAACATAACGGACCGTTATGCAGTGCACACTGCTTATCTTACGGTTAATAAGGCGGAAGGTTCACCCCCCACACACACACCCTAATTCAAACTTCTGTTAATTCATGATGCAGTTACATCATTACCCTAACCAAACCAAGCATCTGTCTCATGCAACCGGTTCCCTTTATTAGTTTGAAGAGAGAAAGAATGAACATGTTTGCAGCATAAGTAACCAGGCTAAATGTGTTATAAAGCCACCAGAATTTGTTCTCACGATATCAGTTCCTGATAGGACTGACGGATCGAACGGTGGATATGCAAAAATCAATGGACGCCCAGTTGAACTTTTTTCACCACCCGGCTGAAATGTAAACGTAGAATGAGAACGTTTTGTAGTTGTAGTCATTGGTTTCTCGGGTGCAATCCATAGCACACATGTAATATCAGTAGGAGTAGTAGTAGTACTAGTACTTGGTTTCAATGGACTACCAAAAATATTGGACGGAGGGAAATTCCGATTAGCTATCAACAGGGCATTGGTTAAATGTAAACCAACACGTGATCGACCATCAGATGACGACGAGAGTAAAATACAATCATCATCATTCTTCGCTGCTTCCATTAAAAGGTTAGCCTCTGCATCAGTAAATTTCACTGAAGGCCATACAGGACGCAAAACTTCTTGACAGGATCGACGATATTCCCGTAGTAGTAGGACATGATAGAAACCATCTTTACTTAAGGGATGTGGTATTACTGAGCTTCGATGGATTTTGGCAGTTTCCAATTTATGCTCTTCAGATTCTAAATGTTCTTGCATCGCTGAACTAAATACTATCGCTTCACAATTTTCACATCGATAGAAAATACTTTTTGAATCACCGCCATCTAGTAATGTGTTTGTGGTTTCCAAATTTTTGCTGTCTATTGTGTTGACATTTGATTTACTTTGGTGTTTACGTCCACGAATATGAGCGGCTACTTGCTCCCAAGAATCCATTTTTGCATCACACGAAGAACAAAAGAGACTGCCATCAGGATTCAAAAATTTTTGCTTTATATCTGCATTATAATATTTTGAGTTTGAATCAATAGAAACCATGTCTACAGGTGATTCAGGATCAGGAGTTGAATTTGTCAATGTTCTAACAAAGTTGAATTTGTTAGAACATTGACAAATTCAACTCCTGATCCTGAATCACCTGTAGACATGGTTTCTATTGATTCAAACTCAAAATATTATAATGCAGATATAAAGCAAAAATTTTTGAATCCTGATGGCAGTCTCTTTTGTTCTTCGTGTGATGCAAAAATGGATTCTTGGGAGCAAGTAGCCGCTCATATTCGTGGACGTAAACACCAAAGTAAATCAAATGTCAACACAATAGACAGCAAAAATTTGGAAACCACAAACACATTACTAGATGGCGGTGATTCAAAAAGTATTTTCTATCGATGTGAAAATTGTGAAGCGATAGTATTTAGTTCAGCGATGCAAGAACATTTAGAATCTGAAGAGCATAAATTGGAAACTGCCAAAATCCATCGAAGCTCAGTAATACCACATCCCTTAAGTAAAGATGGTTTCTATCATGTCCTACTACTACGGGAATATCGTCGATCCTGTCAAGAAGTTTTGCGTCCTGTATGGCCTTCAGTGAAATTTACTGATGCAGAGGCTAACCTTTTAATGGAAGCAGCGAAGAATGATGATGATTGTATTTTACTCTTGTCGTCATCTGATGGTCGATCACGTGTTGGTTTACATTTAACCAATGCCCTGTTGATAGCTAATCGGAATTTCCCTCCGTCCAATATTTTTGGTAGTCCATTGAAACCAAGTACTAGTACTACTACTACTCCTACTGATATTACATGTGTGCTATGGATTGCACCCGAGAAACCAATGACTACAACTACAAAACGTTCTCATTCTACGTTTACATTTCAGCCGGGTGGTGAAAAAAGTTCAACTGGGCGTCCATTGATTTTTGCATATCCACCGTTCGATCCGTCAGTCCTATCAGGAACTGATATCGTGAGAACAAATTCTGGTGGCTTTATAACACATTTAGCCTGGTTACTTATGCTGCAAACATGTTCATTATTTCTCTCTTCAAGCATCTGTCTGTCGTATATCATTACGTGTCACTTGAAAAGAAAGTACCTAACCATAATAGCAACAGCTGGACCACTACTAATCTATTTGGTTTATGAGGTGTGATTTCCACATCAATTGGATATCTGGTGGCACAGCGGTATAATGCTCGCAAAACACGCCTCATTTGGTTCGAGGTTCAATCCCGGCCGACGCTCTCCTCCACCTTGCTAAGCTAGCAATAAGACTGGAAAAGAGGGATTATTTTCATTTCATTTAAACGCAGAAGAAAAACACTTGGTGCAATATGGCACCAAGAAAGATGCGCCACACAGTAATAAAACAGCATAGATTAAAAGTAAAAATTTAAGTAGAAAACGGATAAAGAACTTCATCTGGAAGGAAAACAGTCATATTTAACAAGTTCAAACAGTATTCGTCAACTATCATCGAGAAGGGAAGAAAGAAGGAAATTGCAACACGTTCGCCATTGATTACGATTCTTGGCCATATCCGATAACCTTTCGAGCCATCGATTCGAGCTATCTCGCGGACCCCAAACAGGGAGTCGTGACGCACTTACTGATGGTAATCTAGCACAAAAATCCTTCATCCCACGACGCCACATCATGGATTGACCACCCATCCACCTTTTCGATCCCGTACCAGGGCTAGCAAACAGAGACCTGTACGGAAGCCTCCGGGATGACATTCGGAGCACATGTCCAAGGCACCGGAGCCGGTGTTTCCACATGAAGACACTCAATGAATGGTGATCTCCACTGTGTTCAAACACACGCCGCCGAACCTCAGAATTACTCACGCGATGATGCCACCGAACGCAAGCAATCCTGCGGAGACAGCGATGACCGAACACACAGAGTCGCCGCACATCCTCAGCTCAGAGAGACCAGGTTTCACAGGCGTAGAGCAAGACAGCCCACACCGAAGCATTGTATACCCGACCTTTGACAGCCAGGCTAACGTCGCGACAGCGCCAGAGGTGGCTCAAGTTGATGTATGCCACCCTAGCCTTCATTATACGGTTGGAAATCTCATTCGTCACCCCTCCGCCAGCCCTCACACAACTACCCAGATACACAAACTTATCAACAACTTCAAGTGGTTCGCCGGCAAGAGTGAGTGCAAGTACAGGCTCCTGCCAATCTTGTAACAGTACTTTGCACTTAGATGGCGCAAAGCACATACCATACTTACAGACACTGATCGCCAACTGATTAAGTGCGATTTGGGTGGCCTGCATGCTATCGCACAGTAAGACGATATCATCTACATACTCGAGGTTGAAAAGTCTATCTCCAAGTAGCAGATCTACACCACCTTCACGCACATCCTTCAGAGCTGACTCCAGAATGTCATCGATGGCAAAGTTAAAGAGGGGAGGTCGGGAATCAGGCTAGCAACCCCATCCCGTAAAAAAATAAACACCACTGCTACCGAGACTTTAAACTTCTAGCTTGAAGCCCTATGTTCCAATGGGAACGTAAAGGGATTTTTTTTAAAAACAACTCCCTAAATGTTGCTAACAATATCACACAAAAAAGGGTATGTAAGTAATAATTTTAACAGGAATCAAAAAAGAGACAAAACTACCCTTTAATATACACGCATTAAATCTGTTCAAAACATAATCCAAACTATAGCAAACATCAACTAGCCAATCATTGAATTTTAATTCGCTAGCAGACATCATTGAACTTTGATTCCATGGCATCAAATTAGGCCTATCACTATCTATGAATGATGAAGTTGTTTCCGTAGAATCTGATACAACATTTCGATATACCTCCTCATATAATGATAATGATGGCAAGCAGATCAGCCGGTCATATCGAAGTTTTAATTCAATATGGAATTCATTGAACATTGATTTGATGAGCAGAATGACTTCAGAGAGATCACAATTCTTATAGACAAAAAGATTGCCAATTATTACAGCTAGGCGATGAATTAAACAGCATGGATTCGCTAGACCAAAATGTGCAGCTAATTTTTGTACCTTAAAGGGAAGAAAAACAGATGTGAAACATTGAGAAAGTGAAAAAGTACACAAAGAGATTAACACTGTTTGTTTCTAAGCGTTATTTACAGGAGAACAAATTTTAGCACCACCCTTTTGAAGGAATATTTACAGCAGACGAAACCATAATAAAAAAACACAAAACAAATCTGTCTATACTCTGAAGGAGAAAGAAAATGTGCACTAGTCTCTTTTGCGAAAAAATTAAGGTAACAAAAGTATCCTGGCTGAAAATGGAAAATGCATCAAAGTTACTCTCGGGATATTTGAAGCAATGTTTGGACAATGGTGGGTGGAATCATCACACTAACTAAGCTGACAATCACGGGGATATTATTAGACTAAAAACGTTCTGGAACATGCATATAACGCTTGACTCACAGCTGTTTGTCTATATATATATATATGCTTGTTTGGTGTTGTAACGGCAAATAGGTGGAAGCTTTAATTTGGCTTGATCTAAAGTAATCCTGAGAAACGAAGAAAAAGAAGTATACTTTCTTGTTTAGACTAGAAAGATAACAATAATCGACAACTGGAGGTACAGTGGAATATTCACAACCAACTGGAATTAGAGTGGGAGACGTTCAGTTAATTCTTCACAACATGGTGTTAACCATGCATTCTTATCTTGATTATTTATAAGAGGAGGGAATAAGTCTTTTCGACTGGAAAAGTTTAATACCAGAAGACCATTTCTTTGCATACAGAAGAAGTATATTCAACCATTATGTTTACCTTGGCCTACAATAAAACCAACAAATCCTCCATTAACACTATAAATTCCTTTCACAATTTTCTTTTCTTCTTCTATTCCTCTGTTTCATTGACAATCGTTCATTTTCGACTTTTATGATTTCATGACCTTTCTTATGATTTTATTACCTTAGGTTTAAGTAGTGCTTTTCTAACTTGCTATCGTATTTACAAAATCTTGTTCATTCCACTTCATTATATTCATTATCATTATTATTATTTGACAATCATTCACCAATAGTGCTTGTAATTTTACACCATCATATCATCGTTATTACTTTACAATCATTCTTACTGTCGTTATTTTCAACCTTGAACTTATGTCTAGTCCGCCCCATTCGTTGGTTTATTTTCATATTGAGAAGAAGAAGAAGTTCAGCAAAGATGTCGATCTTTTCGGCGATTTCATTTTCAAAAGCTGTACAATCGCATTTAAATACATAATTTTACATGGAGACAATTCTTGTTTAATTCTACATAATTATGACGGCGAATAAAAGGTGACAACTATTTCCAACTAGATATGGTTTTACGAGAGGCTTAGAAACAAAATTACGCAGGATTAGAACGGATATCAAGTGTGTAAAAATGAGCGTGGAAACAAAATAATAATTTTCAACTTGAGATGGGAATCAGGAGGTGCAAATATAGATTACAAGAGCCTTAGTAACAAAGTTACACGGGATTATAGCCAATTACAGGTGTGCAGAAAATGAGCATGGAAACAAAAAATTTTTTAACTTAAAATGTTGTCATGTTGTTGTCATATTGTCTCACACACCCTGATTACACACACTCTCGAAACCTGTATTTTCTGTTGACTATATTTATATATATGCACACATCATTAAATTAAATTACTTCATCTGATTTTGTCCCATGTTCTCATTGACCATGCATATTAAAAAATTATCTGACTATTGTTCCATCCCATCTTATACATGTTCCACAATACACTTTCTGATATGATTCTAATTTGCCTTTACTGGCTGGCTATTGTATGCTTAAATTAATGGATTTATAATTACAGAGCCTGAAGAAGAATTTATTGAAACCACAATTGTTCGCTCTAAATATTTTGTTCTGGGAAAGTTTTGTAAAATTTTGAATAAAGAATCCAATTCGAGAAAATTAAAAGTTGTTTCGAACCAGCAAGAATCATGAAAATCAAAATTTATGTACTGAGGGATTGTTGAAAAACAGTGATCAGCAAGCAGAGCTTGCGTATGACGCATTCTTAGTACACACATTCAACAGGACTTATAACTAGTGAAGAACAAAACTTTTGTACGATGAAACAATCCGGTGGAACTGTCTGTACAAATTTCTCTATTGTGATAGCGAGAATATTCGAGATATTCATCGATTAGAAGACAACTCTATTCAGGTAACGTTTAATGAATAAAGCTGAAATGAAAATCTGGTCGGTGGCAGGATTCGAACAGTAGATTTTCTCATTACTACTACATTATGATGATTACAGGGTGTCATCCTTAACCTGGGGTTAGCAATCCAAAGGCTTCCGGTTAGAATCCTATCACGACACATATTTTTATTTCACCTTGAATCACCGCTAATTATTTCCTCAAACGCAAACAAAATTGGCCTTATATACATACACACACTGAAACATTAATTCAGCAAAAGGAGACAAAGTTTCTAGTGAAGTCATTAATTTCACTACAACCATGAAAAAAGTGATAACAATAAGACACAAAAGTAACTATCATGCAGAACGTGTGAATTCTGTAGTGTGAGTAAACAAAACATTGGAGCATTACCAGAGTGTCTGTCATATGGTGTGTGTCTTTCTGTACCATTCTTTCAGGATTCTAGGCATTCATTCGTGTGTATTTTCATCTACAGTGATATTTTGGTTAACATTCAGACAAAAAATTGGATCAGTGGTCCAAAATGGTTGAATGTCGGGCTAAACTCGGTCCGGGTTCAATTCCTAACTGAGACAGTCTTCTTAACCTCAGCTAGTCACTGGTAAGCCCAGGAAAGAGAGGAGGTTGAGGGGTACGGTAAGCAATTACCTCTGGTAATAAATTTTTTTTAATATCACCGCTACTGAAACACTTCCAAGCTTAAATCCTGAAGACGTACGCATCCAACACAAAGGAATGAAAACAAAACAAAAAAGATACACAACTTACATCTGAATATGATAATTGTTTACGATTCCAAACTAATAATTCATGTGAAGTAGGATTTGTAAAAGGAGATGTTAATTCACTACGAAGAACATTATTGCACAAACCTTCAGAATCAGCGTCTGGAAAAAGAAACTAAATAGTATTCGAAACTAAGATTAGGTGTATTGTCAAGGAACTTAGTTAGCATAGGAAAAAACCAAAGCAATTTTATTTATTTTAGTTACAACTTGATGCCACACCGTATTTTCAGTATGGATATCGGTAGCCCAAATTTTAAAGGCCAACCATAGATATCGGGTGTGCGTCGGCAGGGGATCGAACCTCGGACCATGTGCATGGTCGGCGAGAGTCCCAACCACTGTGCCACCGACGCACATTAGAATGAAGTGATCTAATTCACTAACACGTGCACACTTTTATACATGTAATAAATAGGTGAGAAAGGTATTCGTGGTCAGGGATAAAAATACTGTGAATATTAATAATGATAATAATAACAGTAACAGTAATAAGGGAAAATGAACATAAAAATATTCCCTTTATCCACAAAATTATAACAAAATCAAAGGTTCATTCGGTTTTTTGTAGCTCTCGATTACGTCATGCATGACTATCCTCCATTCAAGAACAATACTCACTCAGCCGAAACATATCCTCAGTTGAATAAGAGAACACCATATGAAAGTAATTCACATAGCTGCATTTCAAAAATCCTCTACAAGTTTATTCAGACAGTAGCAACTTGAACTAATGCACTTTTGTTAGTCCAAACTCAAAGAGGAGGCGAAGTAAAGAGATATGAATATAGCTAAAGAATTAGTTATTCGAAGATTCAAACTGCCTTAATATGTCCAAGAAAAACATCTTCGATACTAAATAAGTTTATTTGACGTGACACAGTATGATACAACAGTATTCATAATCACATCAATGTGATGACATGGTCATGTTGGAGCAGAAACCGGAGCTCGAAACGTTGTGCAGTTATTAACACTGAACCTCTGTGTGTTATACAAATATAATTATTAATTACTTATCGATTGAGATGGTCAGGACATGTTTTACGTATCCCTAGTCATCGCCCTCCCCGACGGGCAGTGTTAGCTGCCATAGGTTGGAAAAGAGCTAGTGGTGGTCAAACCAAAACATGGCTTCACTAGTCAATGAAATCCACAAAAGTTAAAGCCATCCAGCCAGCCACGTAGAGACATGTTAAACTGCTGTCTGGTTGAGGTCCTCAGGATGGTGAAAACCAATGGTTGGAGGCAATCGTTGACATAGCTCAAAGTCGTTCTCGATGGTGCAGATACATTCACTCTTTGTAATTTATCACATCCAATGAAAATCTACTGTTCTTCCATATTCCTTTCCCCTCACTGGAACTTTTGTTTACTACCTCTCTTTCAGTCGCTCTTTATTCCCTTCTGTTTCTTTCTGTGCTACAAGGAGAGAATGTAGCAACTCGAACTACTGCACATCTGCGCCAAGCTCTGCGCTGACACTAGTCAGTCAGTCAAACTTATTAAATATGAAAAAGAATGTGAAATAGAATGATATCATTTTGTATTGCAAATCTGGTCTTTCTTTCTCTATGGAAATTTATCAAGGGAACCAAATGTATGAAATTTTTGAAAAGACGCCTCCCTGCCAAAACTATTAGGTCACTGAATCAGGTAGTGACTTTGCGATGCAGAATATCAAGAGAGTTGACAAAGATCAAGTTCTACGAACAATGTCTGCAAACAGGTTGTTTCCCACGACAATTCTTGAAACAACTCCGAACATCTAAACTCCCTCCTACCCAAAAGAACCTTCGTCGGATAACAAAGTCTCATATTGAATCCTCGTACAAATATTTTTCCAATCTGAAGTGTCATCTGGCTACTTATGATACCTTAATAAATGACCTAAATATTATTTGCTGGCTCAAATTCATGAACTTCGGTAAAGAATTACAGTCCAGAACTGCAAAAGAATATGAAAACTAACTGACAAAAGCATTAGTCAAGGAAAAGTTAACTGAAGACTTCCCAGAAGCACCTGAACGTTATTTTTGTGATCTGTCAAATTTACAATTAAGCAAAATTGAATTAGAAGCTTTATCCTTGGGATTCAAGTTTCACGTCCCTAAAAAGCACATAAACCGTATAGATACAGAAACGCAGTTTGAATACTTATAATATCAACTTGCTGACCTGCAACCTGTGGACAAAGACAAACGAGGATGGCTAAAGTCCAAACTGGTTGATATAGCCAACCAATACCACACATCACCATCCGAAAAACAAAATATGCTTACTGAGGAGCATAGAGCGGCACCAAGGAGACTATGTGAAAATGATGACATCGTCATGTTTAGACCCGACAAAGGCTCTGGAGTTGTTATAATGAATAAAACTGATTATGTACATAAAATGTTGACAAATCTTAACGACTCCGAAGAATTTCAGGTGGACAAAACTAAGAAGGATGCAACAACGTCATTGAAAAATAAAGTGAATAAATGCCTCAAAGAACTACTCATCAAGAAACCGATCGACAACAAAACTTACAATGAACTCAAGTCAAAGGGTGGACGACTCTTATTTATGTACGGTCTACCAAAAATCCATAAGGCCAATGTGCCCTTAAGACCCATACTATCAATGATAAACTCACCGTGCCACAAACTACCTCGATGGCTAGCTGATTCGTTGAAGCCAATTCGACAAAAATCTTCAAATCATAGCTTGGATGACACCTTCCAATTTTCTAAAGAAGTCGATCACGTTGACATATCCAATAAACTAATGGTGTCATACGACGTGACTGCCTTATTTACAAATGTACCAGTGATGGAAACAATGGATATCATTTGTAAACAAACAGATCTATTGCTATTACTGGAGTCAGAGATGAAACGACTACTAATTCTTTGCACAAAAGACATCCAATTTAGATTCAATAACGAATTCTACTGACAAATCGATGGGGTCGTCATGGGTTTACCTCTAGGACCCATTCTAGCAGACATCTTCATGGGCTATCTCGAACAGACGCGACTGAGTGACACTATCAATGGAACAACATACTACCATCGATACGTCGATGATACTTTTGTTGTTTGTAACGACATGAGTCAAGCATCCGTATTATTTGACCGCCTAAATGAGGTGCATCCAAACATTAAATTCACCATGGAATACGAACACAACGATGAGTTCAATTTCCTAGATCTAAGTGTAAAAAGAAGAGACGATGGAACGGTCGAAAATTCCATCTACAAAGAAGAAACTTGGACTGGACAATACCTTCACTACAACAGCTTCTGTCCTATGAGCTATAAGCGGGGATTAGTAAGGACACTGTACGACAGGGCTAGGAAGTTATCTTCGCCCAACAAGATAGAAGAAGAATTTAGCTTTGTTGAAAAATGCCTTAAGGAAAACGGGTATCCAAAAGGCTTTATCCTACAGTACAGCAAAGAAAGAAATGAGAAAGAGAAGTATCCAACATTTGAAAAGAGGAAAGTGTTCATTTGCCTCCCATACAAAGGAGAAACAGTATCTCAAAAGATTGAAAAAAAGATGAAAGGAGCTGAACTGCGACTAACCTTCTCCACAAAACCTATGATTCATGTGAACGTGAAGGATAAGCTACCGCTGCTGGCCTCATCAATGTGCATTTATCAATTCACCTGCTCGTGTGGAGCCAGGTATGTCGGCCGTACCCAGCGCTCGCTTTCCAAAGGTATCACCGAGCATTTACCAGCATGGTTTTACAAAGGAGAAAATCGATGCCCCCGCAGTTCCATCTTAGAACATCTGATAGAATCCGGACACCAAGCTACACCGCAAACAAACTTCAAAGTCGTCTACAGAGTAAGAAGTAGTCTCCCTAAAGGTGTACGAATCAGACTTCTTCAAACTGCAGAAGCAATGGCGATTCACTTGCTAAGTCCTGAACTCTGCATACAGAAGAAGTTCGTTCAATCACTACACTTGCAATGGACGTAATCTATTTTATTAGCCGACATGTAAATTCTACCTAATCTTTTCTTCTGTCTCTTCATTAGTATTATTTTGTCTTCTCAATTGTAACATTTTACATTTTCAACTTTCTTGTTCTCTACCTCCACCCGATTCAATTTCTACACCTCACTACCACTGTTACTGACTTGAACAACGCTCAGTTTCTAGTCATTCATGTTACGTCATCCAACTTATTCACTCAGTTTCACTTCTACTTAATCTCTACCTGTAATTACCTCTGTTGCTATCCTGACCTAAGTTGTAACATTTTAGCCAATTATATTACGTCATCTAGTTTCTTAACTCAGTCTCACTTTAGTTGCTGTCTGATTAACTTTGTCTCTATACTACATCATTCTTGTATTAACTAACCAATTATCTAAACTTGACAAACCTCATGTACACACACACAAACACACAAATATATATATATATATATAAATGCGATTGTACAGCTATGTGAATGAATTCGCCGAAAAGAGTCTCTTCGCTGAATGTCTTCTCTTTTTCATATGACTCAATGGGGATTTTCAATCTACTTAAACTATTTCAATTAGAATCTCCATCCAGATTCGCCACGCTGATTTAGACTATTGTTAAAAATAGATTAGACTATACAAAAACTAATTAATAATATGGCGAACATATCTTAAAAAAAAAATTATGGTTTATGTTACCATTCATGCTATACTAACTACCTGATGAGGAATCAGTAGGCTGACTTGATTTATCCGAAAAAATAAGATCTTGTTCCAAAAGACGTTGAATCCGTTTACCTGAAATACAATGGGCATCAGTAGACTCTCTCTCTCTCTTCAATAAAAAGCAATGGATAAGATGACAACACTGCAGCATATTACTTGCTACTAAGCAGTTAGGATAGTGTACTCGAGATAGACCCCCCTATAAACCCTATAACAGGGAACAAAGATTTCTCATTTATCAGACTACTACTACTGTATGCCGATTGAGGATACTATCTGACTGCCCAAGTTGAAGTAAGCTACAGTCGGATTTGAACCTAAGTCCCATCGATTCAAAGTTGAGTGATTAAGTCAGTGAGTCACAAATAAAATAAAATAAAACAGCACATAGTGCGTGTTGGTGTGTAGGGATATGATTGGCTACATGGTGCCAATCACCATCAACGAGAGGGATTTGAAAGAGGTTACTTCATTCACTTATCTAGGGAGCACTGTCTCAACTACAGGAGGAACGGACGAGGATGTCAAATCGAGAATCGGAAAGGCAAGAAACACATTCGTCAACCTGAAACCAATTTGGAAATCTTCGTCACTCACCATCAACAACAAAATTCGGATTTACAATACAAAAGTCAAGTCAGTCAGTTCTTCTATACGGATCAGAAACTTGGTGGGTCACAAAGAATATTTCCAACAGCCTGTTGCAGTTCTTTATCAACGACTGTCTTCGCTCTATACTGAAGATTAGATGGCCGGAAAGAACAAGAACCAACAAGAAACTATGGGAACAAACAAAACAAGAACCAATCGCTCAACAAATATGCAGGAGAAAGTGGAGGTGGATTGGACACTCGCTAAGGAGGCCGCTGGGTGACATCACGTGTCAGGCCATCACTCGAGTGGAACCCGAAAGGGAAGCGGCGAGTGTGACGTCCAAGGGTGACATGGAGGAGATCGTGTGAAG